GGCTTCCTTGATTCAGCTGCTGGTCAGTTTCAGCAGCGGCTGAATTGGGGAAGCTGGGCACAGAGCAGCTCCAATTGTCCAGCTGCCCGGAGCACTTCCGGGTTCCCGATGGTGCCAGACCATCAGAAGTACCGGAGCATTGGATGCCGGACCAATGGAGTTTTACTGTATATGATAAATATATCCATGTCCACCTTTAAAAACATCTGTGACTAACTCTGCTGGTCTTATCTTTTAGGTGCTCCCAGCTGCAGGGCTCTCTGGTCCAAGATCATCCATGGTGCCAGATCATGGATAATGCAGAACCAGAGACTTCTGTGACATTCAACCTGTGGTTTAGTGACATTCAACCTGTACTTAGTCCCCAAGTATCTAAACCATCTATTCCAGAAGCAAGAATTTCAAAACAAACCAAAGTCTCTAAGCAACTGACATGAACTTGCAAATCAAGTATATACATTCAAAATGCAACAGCCATATTTGTACAAGCTAGAGAACATGTTTTGCAATACAGTGTCAGCACAGCCCATTTATGAATAATCTTTTTTACCCGTTAAAGTACTCTTCAATTACAAGACAGTCAATCAACATCCTGTACAAAAATAAATGTAAAGTCCATGCAAATATCTGTATTCAAAAGCCAAACCCACATACTTACCAAAACCACCTCACCAATTATTACAGCCACGTCACTGAACACCTTTCTTCACAACCACACTAACCTGAAGGGACAAGGGATTGTTTCCATCCTGAGCTTTAGTCCAACACGCAACAAGTTTCTCTACATTCCCAGCACAAATATAACACAGACAAGCCTGTGTCTGCAGGAGGCTGTCCCCTTCATTTTCAAGTCTACTGCCCAACAGATCTAAGAATTATGAACAAAAATAATGTAAGTCATCTCGTAAAATACTTGATAAAGTACCACTCACGATGCTTGGACTAGCTCTGGGTAAGACAGAGAAACAGCTGTGATGATCAAAAATATGCCAATGCTAAATCTAGCGAAATGTAGAAAAGAAATGTTATATTGTCACTGTTTTGTGGGTACTCACTTGGTCATGTAGAGTGCTTTTGAAAACGGTATCTATCTTGGCTAGAGGGAAGCCAGGCATTGCAACATAATTCTGATACTGCTTGGCCAATGTGGCTCAGAGTCTATCTGCAAAGCCACAGGAGCCCTCTTCCGTGACACTCATGCTGAAAACAGTAATCATGCAACATGTTCTTGTGTCCAAAGGGGACAAATGAGACAAGTCTGAGCTAGTCTTTCATTTTGCTGTTTTATTTGCATCTGCCTGACAACAGATTTTGGCTTGTAACTATGGCTGTACCCACCAGGCAAGCGATGTTAACGAAGTTTCCAGAGACTATGGCTGTGATTTGTAACACAGCCTAAATGTGTCAGTCATCCACCTCCCTTTGAAAATCCCAACCAGTGGCCGTATGTCCTTGCCAGGTATTAAATAAGTAAATCTGACCCCCGGCGATTCAGAACATAGGGTTGGGGGTACCCAAGGTGAGCCACTGGTTTTATTATGCCATTAAGACAAGGTGAGGCAGCGCAGTATGCAGGAGTGAACACATGGTGTGGGTGACTGGATTTCCTCCACATTCATCCTGGAATTCCTAATTTGCTGTGTGGCCTTTGGAGAGTCTCTAAGGACTTGTTCCTTCACCCACTGTTTTCAACAGAAACAAGCGAAGGCCTTTAACACATGGTGTGGGTGAACATGGTGTGGGTGAACTTCCCTCCTCCATGCCGTTTTCACAAGGTGCTTTAGCAACGGAAAGTGCTAACTGTTGTACATAACAGCTACGCTCAGTCCTAGTCAATGCTACCTGCTTCAAAGGGAATGATCAGAATGGAGCATTTATCAAGTGATCAATCCCATCCGGCAGTCAGAGGCTTAGACCAGTGGTCACCAACCAGTCGATCGGGATCCCAGTGGGCACCAACCAGTCGATCGGGATCTACTGGTAGATCTTGGAGCCTCTACAGGTGATCCTGACTGGTTTGGCCAAGAGGCTATCAAGTGCCTACACTTCAGCTGCCCCTCCCGCCACTGCTGCACATCTCCTGCCCCTCCCTCTGGGAGTCTCCTGCTTTCTGTGCAGGGCAGGGCAGGGGAGGGAAAAGAGGAGTGCTGATGGCAGGGTGCCCCCTCTACCATTCTGTATCCTTTCTCCACAGAGAAGAGAGGAAGCACAACAAGACGAGGGATGGAGTTTGCTGGCTGCTTTAGGGAATGGTTCAGGGCCAGGGCATGGGTGAGCCTGCCTTAGCCCCACTGCACCACCGTCACCCAGGAGCCACCAGCAGTGCCCAGATGGAGCCCACATCCCAAACTCCTACCCCAGTCACGAACCCCCTCATGCATCCCAAGCCCTTATCCTAGCTCTGAGCACCCCTGCATCCAAACACCCTCGCAGCGCCTGCACCTAGAACCCCCTCCTACATCCACCTGCCTGCCCCAAGGGCAGCTCAGAGCCCCTCTCATGCAATTTGTAACCCAAATTGCAGGGTTACAATCCCTTAATCCAAGACCAGAGCCTGCACCCCCAATCCTGTGCCCCAGCCTGATGAAAGTGAGTGAGGATGGGCAAGAGAGGGAGGATGGAGTAAGCAGGGACGGGGCCTTGGAGAAGGGGTAGGAGGGAGGCGGGGCCAGGGTATTTATATATGAGGTAGATATATAAAGAAGGGGTAGGAGGGAGGCGGGGCCTATCTTCCAGGAACCTATCTAATTCTTTTTTGAACCCTGGTATAGTTTTGGCTTTCACGGCATCCCCTGGCACCAAGTTGCATAGGTTGGCTGTGCACTGTGTGTTTTAAACCTGCTGCCTATTAAACTCCTTGGTTGACCCTGGTTTTTCTGTTATGGGAAGGGGTAAATAACACTTCCATAACCCCAGTAATCATCTCTTTTTCAAGATGAACAGTCCCAGACTTTTTAATCTCTGTTCACAGGGAAGCTGTTCCATGACCCTAATCATATCTGTTGCCCTTTTCTGTACTTTTCAAATTCTAATGTATCTATTTTGAGATGGGAAAACCTGCACTGCATGCAGTATTCAAAGTGTAGGGGGGGTTCCATGGATTCATAGAGGCATTTTCTGTCTTATTTAACCCTTTCGTAACAGACCCTATCATTCTTAGATTTTTTTGACGCTGCTGCACATAGAGCAGATGTTTTCAAGAGAAATTTTTTCATGATGATTCCAGAAATGCTTCCTTGAGTACTAAGAGCCAATATAGACACTGGGATGTCTATGTATCTGCAGTTGGAATTGCATTTTCCAAAGTGCTTTACTCTACATTTAGAAACATTGAAATTCATCTGTTATTTTGTTGTCCAGACACTCAGTTTTGAAATCCCTTTGTCACTGTCCGCAAGCAGCTTTGGACTTAACTATCTTAAGTAATGTTGCATCATTTGCAAACTTAGCCACCTCACCATTTTATCTCTTTATCCAGATTATTTATGAATATGTTGATGTCTCAGTACATATCCTTTGGGGACCCCACTATTTACCTCTCTGTAATGAAAAGAGACCTTTTTACCCTTTTAACTAGCTACTGATCCGTAAGAGGACCTTTTTTCTTATCCCATGACTACTTACTATGCTTAAGAGCTTTTGGTGAGTGACCTGGTTATAAGCTTTCTGAAAGCCTGATAACACTATGTACACTGGATCATCCTTGTCCATGTGATGTTTATGTTCAAGCAGTTCTAATAGATTTGTGAAGCATGATTTCCCTTTACAAAAGTAATACTAACTCTTCCTCAACAAATCATGTCTGAGAATTCTGCCTCGTCCAGTTGTGTTTCTGAAACATATTAACTGGAATCCAGTAAGCAAAAAGTACTATATCATCTTTTCTTATCGAATGCAGCTCTGATATAAACTATCATCACTGCTGACTCTTAGGAAAAGATAACAGTGGTTATGCTTGCTCTGGCCATGAAGAGGCACACCTGTGCTTTCCATGCACAAACGCTTTGAATTTAGGAATGGATCACCATTAGAGGTATGTTTCTTTTATCATAAACAAATTAAAGCAATGTATTTAATGCCTTATGACAAAAAGTTGGGCTGACATCCCTGAAAACTGAAGAGCTGTCTTTTCACAGAAGAGATACAACATGGGAAGGTGCATGCTGGACCAGAAAAAGGGACATATTTGGTTGGGTAAGAGAGAAGAGCAACAGAGCACTGAATCAAGTTGATTGAACCCCTCTAAAATTCCAATGAGTTCTCATCATCCAAAATAAAGGAATTATTCAATAAACAACATTAATTATGAATAGATTAATTCATTGAAGGAAAATAACTGGAGCATTTAAAAGCATAGCTTCTCTAAAGTTGAGTAAAATAAATGACATCCATTCTGTAAGTTTTCTTACCACAGAGAGCTGCAAACTCATCTTGCTTAGCATAAGTCAACACAGCAGCCAGCGCTTCTCTCCAGTTTTGCAAGTCACATGACTGAACTATCTCCTTCCAGTTCTTTGTCACAACTGCAGTGATGAGCTAGGAAGGAAACAGAAAGACTGAATGATGTATAATTGCCATTCCTGACACTATATCATTTATATCTATGCAGTGCCCCAATCCCATGGTATCTGGGCAAATGACAGACACTTCACCATGACTCAATCTGAAAGAGTATATTAATTCATCTTTAAAAGGGATCCAGCGAAACTTAGAAATCATGACAAAGGCATAGGACACACACGTATCTGAATTATAAAACACATGCGACCGGGTATGACGATTAGGGTTCAGATGCCCCAGAGGGAAGAAAGGAGGTCTGAATCACAAAGAATAAGCAATTGAATCAGCTGATTGCATACAATATCTATTATATAAGCCCTTTAAAGACTAACAAGATGATTTATTAGGTGATGAGCTTTCGTGGGCCAGACCCACTTCCTCAGATTATATTCTGGAAAAGAATTGGCATGACCATATATACCAAAGAAATACAATGAAAAAAGTGATCACATTATTAAACTGACCAATCAGATTTAGTACAGAAGATGGGGGGAGGGAGAAGGAAGGGAGGGAATAGCTATTTATGAGTCAATGAATGGCTAATCAGGGGTGATAAGTGGGGAAGCTATCTTTGTAATAGTTAAAATAATGAACATCTTTGTTAAGGCCCACTTGTAAAGCATCAAATTTAAGCATGAAAGAAAGTTCTGAAGTTTCCCTCTGTAATCTGGTGTCTCTTTGAAGTAAGATGCATGTAGTAAGGTCATTAAAACTATGTCCAGGTAGGTTGAAATGAAAAGCAACTGGTTTTTCCCTGTGAAGATGTCTGGTTTGTGGGCATTAATTCTTTGGCGAAGCGTCTGAGAAGTTTGTCCAATATACATAGCAGACAGACACTTTAGGCATATGATGGCATAAATTATATTTCTGGATGAACAGGAATATGTGTTCTTGATCATATAACTGACATGGTTAGGTCCAGTGATGGTGTCACCAAAGTAAAGATGTGAACAAAGTTGGCAACGGGGTATGCTGCAAGGGAAAGTTCCAGGTTTGGTATTAACGTGGTATGTCCTGTGGTTGTTGGTAAGAATCTTCCTGAGGTTAGGTGGTTATCTATAGGAGACTATGGGTCTGTCCCCCAGAGCCTCTCGGAGTGTAGTATCCTGTTCCAGTATAGGTTGTAGGTTATTGATAATGCATTGGAGGGGTTTAAGTTGGGGGCTGTAGGTGATGACAAGTGATGTTCTATTGTTGGTTTTCTTAGCAAGTCTGATCTTGCTAAAACAAAAGGAAAAACTGAAAAAAAAAAAAAAAAAATATGGATGAAATAGGAATTGTTCTTGCCCCAAACCAGAGTAGGGAATAGTCAGCAAGCAGCCACTTAGAAACATCAGACAGCGCTCACCATGCTTTGCAGTCGTAGGTCCTCAGCCAGAAAACCACTTGAGCAATGTGCTCAACTTTAAGCACACAAGCTGTTCCACTGAAGCCACTGCTCCCTGTTATGCATGTGATTAAGTGCTTTGTATTTAAGTAAGTCAGTGCCTTAGCATGGGGATAAAAACCTGCTTTGTTCAACGTTGCCTCCTCCTACTGCACCATTACAAGCCTTTCTTCATCAAAGGAACAGTGAGAACCAAGAATTAAAGATTCTCTCCTTTCCTCTGAAATATGAGGTCACTTCCAAAATGACAACTTTGGTAAAAACTTTCTTCATGCAGCACACAGTCAACCTGTGGAATTCATTGCTAGAGGATGTGGTGAAGACCAGGACTTGAACAGGGTTCAAAAAAGAACTAGATAAATGCATGGAGGTTAAGTCCATGAATGACTATTAACCAGGATGGGTAGGGGGGGTGTCCCTGGCCTCTATTTGTCAGACTGGAAAGGAGTGACAGGGGATTAATTGCTTGATGATTATCTGTTCTGTTCACTCCCTCTAGGACATCTGCCATTGGCCACTGTTGGAAGACAGGACACAGGGCTAGATGGACCTTTGGTCTGACCCAGTATGGCCGGTCTTATGTTTAACAGGATGTCTTTGGCTGCTCCTCGTTTTCACCTTCTGCTGACACACTGATGGAAATTAGCAGCAGAAGGCAAAAACTGAAGTACCATTGCCAGCAAGGCTGAAGCTGAAGAGCACAAATGACCGGATGTCCTGAACACACTGGCTCACATATATTGTGTGATTAAATTAGTCCTGCTATTATTAGATAAACTTTATACAGAGTAAATAAAGCACAACACAAAAATCACAGAATACCAGAACTGGAAGAGACCTCACGAGGACATCAAGTCCAGTCCCCTGCCCTCATGGCAGAACCAATCACAATCTAGAGGCTCATCCATGACAAATGTCTGTCTAACCTGATCTTAAGTATCTCCAGAGATGAAGATTCTACAACCTCCCTAAGCAATTTATTCCAGTGTTTAACCACCCTGACAGTTAAGAAGTTTTTCCTAATGTCCAACCTAAACCTCCCTTGCTGAAAATTAAGCCCATTCCTTCTTGTCCTGTCAGCAGAGGTCAAGGAGAACAATTTTATCCCTTCTCCTTGTAACACCCTTTTCGGTACTTGAAAGTTGCTATTATGTCCCCTCTCAGTCTTCTCTTTTCTAAACTAAACAAGCCCAATTCTTTTGGTCTTCCCTCATAGGTCATGTTTTCTAGACCTATAATCACCTTTGTTGCTCTTCTCTAGAACTTCTCCAATTCCATCCACAAAAATCTCTCCTCCAAATGACTGGACAGAAATTAACATAAAAAGGGCTGCGGCTGGCATAAATATAGTACTTGCTAAGGATGACCAGATAAGTCACGACTCGAACACTCTGTTTAAACTAGATATTTATCCTTATTCATTAGTGAAGATTCTTTTAAATCATTATGATCTACACATTTTAAAAAGAATGAGGAGACAGAGTGGAAATAAATAAAAGCTGCTCTTTGTCTCAGTCAGTGACCCTGTTCTCTGCTTAAAAAGACACAAAACAGGGAAAAAAAACTTTTCACTCACAGACCCAATGATCAATCAATTTGCCTAGAAACATATGTATAAAGCTAGCAATATAAATGTATATACAAATGTATAAAGCTAGCATAACATTAACAGTTTCAGGAGTCTGCTGAAAAAATATTCAGAGGTTCTGTTTTGGTTTTCAGTTGAAAAGATACATACCCTGGTAATTTTGCTTTGCATCTTAGAAAAGTATTTCTTCTGTGTCCTTGACAGTAGCTCTTGTCCACCTGCTATGGCCAATATGATGGCATCAGCCATGCGATTATCATGTAAACAGAGATCGACTGCACTTTCAAAGTTACCGGTCAGCAAAGCCTGGGTAATCAAACCATCAACATCTGCAATTGGGAGGAATAATGTTAGTTTTAAAACAATCTGATTGCTTCAAAATAAACATTAAATATAAAGGTGAGTCAAGTAGTAGCTACTCCCTCACTCCATGATTCTGGGCTGTTTTATTCTTAAACATTCTGGGCTGTTTTTAGCTACTCCCTCACTCCATGATTCTGGGCTGTTTTATTCTTAAAGGCCTAGATTCAGGAAAGCTGAATCGTTAATCAAGAGAGAACTTCTGTGCATGCCTAAGTACTGTCCTTAACAGGGAGGCTTTCCTGAATCAGGCCAAACAGACCATACCATTATCTCTTTGTGCAATGATCTCAACAGAGCCCAAACCCACTTGTTTAGGCCATACCATTACTTGGATAAGGGATTTCCAAGAATGACTAAGGGTGCATCTACACAGCACTCAAAACTCAAAATAAGATACGCAATTTTGAATCTACTTCAAAATAACACGCTACTTCGAGCTATCCCTTATCCCTCATGCAACAAGGGTTACTGTGATGGCAAAAGAGTGTGCCTGTTATTTCGAAAAATATTTTGAAAAATATTTAGAAACAACGGGCGGCTTGTGTAGACGTGAGGTAGCTATTTCGGGACACCTCCGGTATCTCAAAATAGCCATGCAATTTAGACGTACCCTTACTTTAGCATCAGAGGAAGTACTTATGGACAGGCCTGCTGGTGGGGAGGGAAGCGGAAAGGGCCAGGACTCCCAAGTGCAGCCCCTGGCCCTTTAAATTGCCACTGGAGCACCATATCACGTGCGTCATGCAGCTCTGAGGGCTGCTGAGCGTGGTAAAGGGGGGGAATGGGGCAGCACGCTACAGGCAGCAATGAGGGTTGGTTGCTCCAGCCACGCCCCTTCTTCCCAATGCCCTTTCCCTTCCAGGAATACACAGCTGCTCCCCCACACCTTGCTGAGGGGCCTGGCAAGTTTGTCAGCCCCCCGCTTGTGGATGAGATGTACAAAGGAGGTCTTGAACCTTGGTGGTCTCTCCAGATCCCCTGGATGAATAGGGATAAGAATGAGGTAACACTCCTGTCTTGATCAAATCTGAACTCTGGTAACAGTCCACTAAATCCTTCCTCTAGTTTCAGTGTCAACTGGTAGCATATCCTTCCTTATAACCTGTTCTAAACTGTTGTAGAGAGCTGCTTTATGTCGTTAGAAAGGTGTCAAACTATCCAGAGATGGATGCATTTTATCCAGAGATGGAAGCGATCCTGTATAATTCCTCATTTTTCCTAACACAGGAGGTGTCGTACTTAGAGATTGTTGGATGAAAACTAACACAGAGTATGAATAATTAAAATGTGTGTAAACCGCAATCCTTGTGTAGTTCTTTATGCAGAAGGCACCATATAAAGAGAATTTAGGTAACACTACAGCTATGACATCTCAATAATTCAAAAATATTTGCAAGTATCATGAAATCAATATAAACAGGTTTTTACCTCCACTGACAGAGATATTAAACGTTTCTTTTCCAGAGGTCAGATCTTGAGTCTCCTCTTTCGTTTTCTAATGGAGAGGAAAAGTGCAGTTTTTCAGTCTGTGCAAAGAATCTGGCTAAATAAATCCATGTTTGAAGTTGTACACCTTATAGAGGAGGGCATAGCATGCTTTCTTCTTGTCATTCTCCTAAGAGGTGCTATCAGACTGAAAGAGCATTGTTATGCTCGATATTTCTATTCGATGTCAATAACTTGCTCTGGCACTTGTACAAAGCAAATCTTAGCACTATAGAAAAGCCCTGAGCATACCTACTGATCTACCTAGCTGTGTAAATGTACAATCACAAAAACACAGCTGACAGGATCAGTGGTGAGCTTTTTTAAAACTAACATTTCAAAAACGTCAGGGTTCACTTCACTGAGAAGAGGCTTATTTAAGTACATGGGTGAATATTTAGACATTGTGAGCAATTATTTGCACAACAAGGTATTGCTTTGCAATTTCCATGCACAAATGCACAGAAACCTTCCAGAAACTGTAGCAAATTAATCCTCACAGCCTCCAGTGAGGAGTGCAGAAGATAATCCCCATCTTATAGAGAGAAAAAAACCCAAAAAGTTATATCATCTGCTCATGGTGTCAGGGTGATTCAATGTCCAAGCATCTAATTGCTCCAGCATAATGCACCAGGTTGTCATGTTCTGCTTTTTAAAATAAGCCTTTTTTCCCCAGAAAAAGGCTGATCTGTATGTTAATGCTACCTAGCTAGCACTTAACTGTACAGAGATATGGTGCTTGATCCTGCAAAGTCCTGGGCTCTCCATCTCAATCCAGCAATTAAAAGCATTTAACCACATGCTTAGCTTTGGGCATTGAAATGAGAACACCTGCATGCTGAAAATTAAGCATTTGCTTAAAAGTGCTTTGCTGGAGAAGAGCCAGAGCATTCAGCTGGCTGCCCTTTATGATCTTTCACTTAAAACCAAAAACAACTCTCTCAAATCCAATGTGAAAATCCATGCACAAGATGAAAATTTTGGAATTTAAAATACAATCCATCTAGAAAGGCATACTACCCGGTGGAAATCTCCTTTGAACGCAAGTTCTCAACATTTTCATAATGTGGACCAAATGTCAACAAGTAAACTGGGGAGTGACCACCCTCCTTCTCATTTGCCCTTGTGCAAATATGGGCAGGTACAATACACACACCCAGAACACTAGAAAGGAAATGAGCTGTTAAGATAATAGCTAAGTGCATTATGAGCTCACAGTTAAAACAGAAGCGAACACTTACCTCTCTCAAGAACGGCTCTTCAGTAGCATGACCGTCTTCCTCATCACTGTGTACTGACTGGCCAGATTCTTTAAGAGCCTTTTGCAGAGAACAGAATGGCATTGGGAAAAGTTAGCAGCAGGAGAGTGAGCAAGCACATAGAAGAATGCAGACTTAAAAGGAACACGAGCCAACAATATACAGCAGCAGTCTGCCAAGAGCAAAACTCCACGTGAGAAATGTAAATGTCTTCATTTCCTCCTCGCACCCCCCCTTTCCCAGAGTCATACTTAGGCCACATCTACACTAGGGACGTAATAGCGTAGTTGATTAACCAATAATCAAAAGCTTATAGGTTAATGCTATAGACTACACGCATCTCCCCCACCCTTTGCAAGTAAGATTTTTTAGCAGGCTGGCCAGCAGCCTGGCTCAGTCCTGGCTTGTGACGGGTAATAATAATTAATGGAGATATACCTATCTCACAGAACTGGAAGGAACCTTGAGAGGTCACTGAGTCCAGCCCCTGCCCTCATGGCAGGACCAAGTACCCTCCCTGACAGATTTACCCTATTTCCCTAAATGGCCCCCTCAGGACTGAACACATAACCCTGGGTTTAGCTCAAACCACTGAGCTATCCCTCCCACACAGGGTCTGGGACCTCCCCCCACTGTGGCTCTGCATTTAAAGTGTATTAGGATCTGGGCAGGCAGCCTGGCTCAGCTGTGACTCGCGCTGGGTCCAGGAGCTCAGACCCCCTTTAGACAGGGGCTGCTGCCACCCTGTACTGTTACCTCTTGATCAGAGGCAGCCGCATGGGGCAGCAGGCAGCTGATCTGTAAGGGGAGCTGGTTTTTAAACCGGCTCCTCACGCGGACCAGCTCCCTCTTAGCACCCCACCCTGCTGCCTCGGATACGGAGGCAGCAGCGCGGAGTGGCAGGGGGGTCCTCGGGACTGAGGCCAGAGTGCACTGGCTGCCGGCCCCGCCCCTGGGAGCTACAGAATAGTCAGCTAACCATTAAGAATTCATAAGATTACTCGACTATTCAAATAACCGATATTTACCATCCCCAATCTACACTACAGCAGCTACAACTATAACTCTGTAGGTTGGCCACTGCAAGCTACTATAGCGTAGATCATAGGCACAGACTGTGGGTGCTCGGGGGCTGGAGCTCAGCACCCACTGGCAGCCCAAGGCCCCCCTCCTCCCAGAACGTCTTGTCCACAGGCAGCCCTGCTGACCAATCCTCCCTCCTAGTGCCTCCTGCCTGCCATGGTGTTTTGTCAGGACACTCCAAGAGGAAGGGGGAGGAGTGAACACAGGGCGTGCTTAGTGGGAGATAGGGAATCACAGAATCAAGGGACCTCAAGAGGTCATCAAGCCCCATCCCCTACCCTCTAGAATCTAGACCATCCCTGATAGATGTCGGTCTAACCTGCTCTTAAATATCTCCAGTGATGGAGATTCCACAACCTCCCTAGGCAACTTATTCCAGTGTTTAACCACCCTGACAGTTAGGAAGTTTTTCCTAATGTCCCACCTAAACCTCCCTTGCTGCAACTTAAGCCCATTGCTTCTTGTGCAGACGTTCAGGAGCGCAAGTTTTTTTTTTGGTTATATTAATATGGCAAAAAAAGATCTTTTTTTGTTTGCTTACCTCCTCTAGTTTGTCATCAACAAGACTTTCTTTATTCAGAGCTGAGGTGATCTATAAAATACATAAGATGTATTTGAGAACTGATTTTTGTCTATTACTTTAGGGTCTATATTGCATAAGTTAACATCTCACAGGTCACCACACAGCAAGTTTGAGATGAAGGTAAGGCCTTGTTTGCATGAGAGTTGAAGCCCTGCTGGAATATTTCCCTGATCATTGTGCCGAGGGATTGACTTCGAAACCCATGCTAGCCAGACCGTGACCACTTTTAAATGTTAAAATCTTGGATTTTAGCTTGCTGGGGGCAGAGACTGAGTCTTCCATTGTGTTGCACAGTAGGGCTCCAATCCTGACTGGGATTTCTGAGCTCTGCTGTAACAACAGCAGCAGCAATTTAGAGATTTCTGTGTCTGCGTGCGAGTCAGTTTGGTCAAGAACTCCTCCGAAATGGTAAAAGCTAGGACCACCAAATCTGGTGTGCAGCTTCCTCTGATAAAAACTTAAAGCAAGGTCAGGGTTTGATTGTGCCAGGAAAATGGGATGTGCCTGGAATTTGATTGTTTTCCGTGATAAGGATAGGACAGGGTCTGAGCGGAAGGGCGCTGTACTGCAGAGTGACCACTGGGGACAGCCACGTCACCAAGGGAATGGCCAACTGGGGACAGGGCTCACCATTCTGCCTGCTCCCAGCCCAGGTAAGTGGCCCCCCTTCCCCAAGCTTCTACTGCCTGGTCCTCAGCCCCAGCACTGAGAGCGAAAGGAGAAGGAGAAAGTCCTGCTGGCCCCACTGCCCCAGCCCCTCCCCTGGGAGCACTCCACTGCAGGAGTCACAGCACTGCCTCCCCATCCAGCAGTGTCAGGCCGCCCCACAATGCCGAGTTGCCCCCTGCCCTCAGGCCAGGCCCAGGCAACACCAGGTCAGTCTTCTAGTACTGTTATAATATTTCTCAGTGGGAAAAAGCCCTGTCTATAGTGACTAGAGAAACTGAGTTTCATTAGGATTGTTTCAACCACAGCAGGACAATGCTTAAGGTTAGGATTTTCAAACAGCTGAAAGAGTTAAGATGCCTATGCCTGCTTTCAGTGTGAAGTGGGTGTCCAACTTCTTTAGGTTCTTTTGCAAATCACAGTCTAATCTATAGTTACAGTGATGAAATACGTACTGAAAAAAATTGATTCTGAAGGGCAGATTGGAGGGGAAAGCACATTTTCACTTGTAATCACATGTGATTTACTCTGCATATTGTTGACCCGTAAACACATGACCAAGGGTGCTATTTTTACCAAGCTACTTTTCAGATGGACTTTTAAGTTTAGACATGGTACAGCTTACAAAAATGAGTTAAATGTTTAAGTAAACTTAGTCAAAATTAAAGGAAGACAAACTGGAGATTTCATAGATGCAACACTGTGCTACTAAAAAAAGGTGAACAAAGAATCGAGAAATGAATGTGACAGATTGAAAAGCAAGCTCAGAGAAGCATGTCAGATTTCAGGGATTCATGTAAGTAGAGAGACAGAAGATACTATCAAGATGCAGAGCATAGACTCAGAAAACTCATTTTCTATTTCAAAGCATATTAATTCACTTAAAAGGTCAATCATGTCCCATTCCACCTGACATACATACTCTACATATTACTACATTCCATACCATTAACACAGACATTTTTGAGCTGGCACCTAATCAAAGCATTGGTTTGAGGGTCTGAAATGTCTTGCTGTCTTCTTGATAACAGGCACCAGAAACTAATTTTAAATTAAAGAATGAAAAACTGGGGGTCTAAAGATTTATCTCTGTATCCTACTTAGGAAGTGGTTGTTTCCAGAGACCAGATTTAACTCCGTCATGCCAAAATAAGGATGTTTTCTGGGTTAGAAAGAGGTGAAATGTACTCAAACAGTGAAAACTGCTATTTCAAGAAGTGGAGAAAACATCTCTCTCAATGTAAATGGATTTGATTGTTTTTAGGGGAATAGCAGGGGAAGGGTTGTGGGGATGGGAGGTTCCTATTTCCTAAACATTACGATCACCAAGATAAAAAAAGATTACTATCTTCATACTGAAAGAGGGCTTTTTTTAACTAACACAATCACACAAGTATAGTAGAATTTCAAAAATGAGGTTCCAATTTTCAAAGCAGTCTAGAGGATTAGACACACATTTATTAAAATTAATACACGTACTTAAATCTTCTAATCCATTTTGAAATTGTCAACTTGTCTGAAACATGCCATAAAAAAAGCTCTAGACAGAATTACTTCCATGGTCTCATAAGGTATTTTGTGTTCTTTATCTAGATACAAATTTCACAGTAGATATTGTGAGTTTTGGGCCTTCTTGAACAATGAGTACACTGCTGGTGCTTAAATAATACATCTTCAAATTAATGGTATTTAAATAATCTATTGCTTACAGGATAGTAATTGAACTATAGTAGTTAGCACAGGGTAACAACTGTGTCCTAGGAGAATACAGCTTTAAGTTATCAGGAAGCACCCTCAAAACATTACATAGAGAAATGGGATGTTCTCTTACATGCTCTATTTTATTACTGCCATTCCAAATCTCTATCTATATGCCCAATAAACTAAGCACATCAACTTTTGACTAGGGATGTTAGTTTGTAGTTGTTTACACGATTAACCAATAATCCTGGGCTCATTGGCTGATCTTAATGACTATAAGCACCCACCCCTTGCTGTCTCTATATCAGTGATATCAAAGGGAGGGGGAGGTGGGAGCCAGTGCCCATGGGGAGCAGCAACGCCGGAAGGTGGGGGCAGGTAGGAGCCAATACAAGCAGGGGGCCATGTACCCCCGTACTCCCTGCCTCCCATGAGCTTCCAGCACCCCACAAACACTGGATCCTGCAAAGCTGACTGCCCCTCATGCTGCTGCCTCTGACAGAGACACAAGGGTGGAGGTGGTAGGAGATGGTACATGCAGAAAACTGGCTTGCCACAAGCTCCAGCGCCCACGTCATTACTCCCCGGCACGTAAATGTGTAATCACTGAAAAATTCAGAGGTTACACATTTACAAAAACACACATTTGCTAACATCCCTACTTCTGACTCGGTCTCTAATATTTCAATATATTCCTCAGTATACTTAATACATACACAACTTTCAAACATTTACCTTTTGCCCGAGGTCATCTTTCCTGTACCCTAAAAGTTCAAGGTATTTGCTGCGAGAATCTTCTTCAAAATTCACCTTTAACCAAAACAAAAACCAAAACAATAAATAGTCCAACGCAGCATGTTTTCAATCCTAATTTCATTTTCCCCATTGTAATTTCAACATGTATAACCATGTATTGGGAATCAGTGATTAAGCAAAATGTGTTAAAAGGGAAACCTTAACTGTGGACTCCCAGGATCTGGGCCTCAGAACAGAGCTATGTAAAGCAAATGCACCTCTTCAACTTCCATTTAGCTCTTATTTTGAAAATACAAAGTGTCATAACTAATAATGGAAAGCCATATTTTACTTTTCAAATACTGAAACTGGAATATCTCATTACCTGATCTAGTATCAAGATGAACCAATACTAAGCCAATGGCTAAATTATATCATACCTTCCCCAGAATATCTATCTTTTTGCTCCTGCTAGAACATTAGAACATACTTATTTCAATGATTCTTCATCCTTCCATCACTAATCTCTTTTGATGAAGTATATGGGGGTATGCCTACACTGCAAAGTTAATTCGAAATAACAGCCGTGATTTCTAATTAACTTTAATAGTGTCTATACACGCAAACCGCTATTTCGAAATGAATTCGAAATAGCGGCGCGCTTAATTCAAATTTGGTAAACCTCATTCTATGAGGAATAACACCAAATTCGAAATAGCTATTTTGAATTAAGTGCTGTGTAGAGACTTAATTCGAAATAGGGGGCCTCCAGCACTTCCCAGGCAGCCCTGGTGGCCACTCTGAGCACAACCACAAAAACTTAATCTCCTCTCCCCCAGCACCGGAGCCATTAAAGGGGTAGACTCTGACCACAGTGCCTGTGCCAGCTCTAAGCCTGCCAGCCCAGAGCCAGCAGTGGCCACCGGTAGGAGCAGTATACCAGCTCCCAGGAGCCTGACGGGCTGGAGAAGGTGGGCGCGAGCCCCCGGTGGGGAGGACCGGGATGGCTCTGAGGGCTCCTCAGGGTGGACGCTCTCTCGCAGGGCCTCCTGGATCCTGACAGCCCTCCAATGGACCCCCCCGGATGGCAACCTGCAGCAAGTGCAGCTGAGCTGATGGCAACGACCCCATGAGACGCACCGGCGTGCCATGGGGCAGCTCTGGCTCCATGTGGCTGAGTGCTGTGGTGTCTTGAGTGTGGGCATTTAGGGCACTCCAAGACAGGACTGCTTTGCTGTCCCTCATCGAGGTAGACAAGCAAGCAAGGAACCCTGAGAACTGTCTGTCCGGGGCGGAGGTAGGGTCCCTTTAAGCATGGAGCTCAGTTAGCCTCAGGCAGCAGCCCCACACACTAAGTCCTAACCTGATGCCCTGCCAGCACTGGTTCCGGCCAGCCTTAACTTTGGTTCAGGGTCTCCTCAGTGTTGACGTGCTATTTTGAAATAGTTTTTGTGTATAGATGCGTTATTTCGAATTCGCTTAATTCGAATTAACTATTTCTAATTAAGTTAATTCGAAATAGCACTGTAGTGTAGACATACCCTGGATTATTTGATACCATTTTCAGAGTCTAATCTCATTCTACTGTACAAACTAGAAATCACCTCAGTATCTTTGAACGGTGTTTTTGGTTTAAAACATTTGACCATGTACTGAGAACTGCTTTTATTCTTGGTTTTAAGAGGCTAGGGAATCTTTTTATAATTCAGAAACATCTGAAAAAAATTACCTTTAAGAAAGACCACACATTTTTCTCAAAATCATTCTGGGCAGCATCTATTTTTTTCTGACAATAATTGATGAAGCCTCACACGTACACATGGTGTTGCTGTTGCTGCTGCTGCTCAGCTCCTTGCTGATGAGACTTGATATTCTCAAATGTGACTAGCTTGCCTCCAAACTGTAATTTAATAAATAATGTGCCAAATATTGCGTATGTAACCTATATTACATTTATATATTACTATATACACACACACACGGTCTTCTCTTGATTCACTCTAATACCCCGTACTACACATGGTGTTGCTGTTGCTGCTGCTGCTCAGCTCCTTGCTGATGAGACTTGATATTCTCAAATGTGACTAGCTTGCCTCCAAACTGTAATTTAATAAATAATGTGCCAAATATTGCGTATGTAACCTATATTACATTTATATATTACTATATACACACACACACGGTCTTCTCTTGATTCACTCTAATACCCCGTACTCTGCAAACAGGTATACTTACCTGTGAGGAGTCCCACTGAGCCAATTGGGACTACTCATAAAAGTAAAGTTACTCATATGCATAAACATTTGTGGAATCACGGGCTCAGACAGAAAGGGCCTTTTAACAGGGACAGTGTATTTGTACAACATCCGGCATAATAATGGGGCTCTAAACTTGACTGGGGCTTTTGGTACTGCTACAATATAATTATTAAAATAGTAAAATTGTGTAGTAAATGCTACTTGAAAACATATCTAAAAATGTACACTACCTTAGACAGCACACAATTGGCAGATTAGATAGACAGAAATAAAAGTGGCAGAGAAAGAACCAAGATTTGGATAACAGGGAAGAAAGAAAAAAGTTAACCAATCTTACTTTTAAACGAAGCCAGTAGAATATAAAACACAAAATCCACCCAAACCCAAATTTCTCAGTTAGCTAAGAGAAGTAGGATGACATTAGGGATGTTTACATGTTTATACAAATAAACATTTGCTATCGCTGAATTTTTCAATGTTTACACGCAGGAGGCAGGTGGGAACAGGTACTGGCAGGGAGGAAGATACTGAGGCAGCAGGGGTGGAGGCAGGTGGCAGGCTCCCAACCTGAGCACTGGATCCTGCCTGCCCCCCACTCTGCTGCTGTCTCAGAAAGGCAGCGTGATGGGGTCAGCTCCAAGGAGATAGCACGTGCGGATACTCAGCTTAAAAGCCAACTCCCCATGCACACCAGCTCCCGTCTCCGCTCCCCACCCCTTGCTGAATCTGATACAGAGGCAGCAAGAGGAGGGAGGGGGAGTGTAGTCATTAGGATTAATCAATAAGACCAGGCTTCTCAATTAATTGTGTAAATGACTACACGCTAACACCCCAAGATGACATACTGGCAATCATCAATCCAAAGCATTATTAGAAAAAAAATATTAATTGCTTCCAAGGCAACATGAATTGATTTGTCAAATTTCACATTAACCTATGGATCAGAGAACTAGTAAATAGTATGCTGAGATTAGGAGTATTTTGGCACAAATATCCATTTTGAGCCAGAGTTCAACGTAGAGAGAACAAAAACCTGGAATGGTCAAGTTCTCAGTTAAAAAGCCTGCAATTTAGAAGGGAACAATTAAGGCATAGGCCAGATAGCTCTGCTCTCAAAGTGCAGTGGGACCTTATGAAATCTTGGCTACTCTGAGACTTTGATAATCCTAAAAAAAAAACCTTGGTAATCTCACCCTGTTTCTCAGCAATGACTTACCAGCAGCGAGATCTCATACACTCCCGAGCTGTTACTAAACATAGATCATATTTACTATTAAGTATGTGTCAGAACTGAAAACCAAATTAAATTGTGTACACTTGGCTGCCAACTGTAAAATGTGGGTCTTCTAGTCGTCATGGCACAGGAGTGGAGCTCTGTCGCAGTGCAACGTGAAACCCCTTCTATACTGTTTGCAGAGAATCTATCAGACACATCACCACCAAGTCAGCTTTGCCCACTCAGCAGCCTGAAAAGGGGCCCCCACTTACTGCAAATGATGCACCCACAGGCCGTCGGAGCCATTTGGGTGGCTTCTTTAATGGCAGAACAGTGTTCTGTGGAGAGGTCTGCTGTGGAAGCTGCAATGGAGGGAGGGGCTGCCCCGTGCCAAATGGATCAAGATTCCCAAAGGACGACGAGAGCTTTAAAGAGAAAGAAGCTGATTACACATTTCCTGCAATATTTAATGTAAAATACATATCTGTCCATGATAATTATTCAATAGACTAACACTACTTTGGCTAAACTTAAAAAACCAAAAAATAGTCTGGGAGCATTTTAAAGACTAACAAAACATGTAGATGGTATCATGAGCTTTCATGGGCACAGCCCACTTCTTCAGATGACTGGAGTGTTGTATGTCCAGAACCAAAATAAACAGGGGAGTAGGGAGGGAGAGGTGGAAGAAGGGAAAAATGGAATGGGGGACGAGTCAGTGGGTAAAAAATATATCAAGGGGAAAGCTGAGCAGGAAT